CTAACTCAGTTTCCCCCCCCCCCACCCGATCGATCTGTTTTCATTTGAGTAGTGTTTTTGGCTTACGTATTTTCATATTCCACCATGCTGCAGATCAGAAAAACTTTAGATATCCCCCAGGTAACCTAGAATAAAACAAGACAAGTATTTCTGGTGTGGAATATTTTCGGTTCATAAACCCACACGAAGCGCTCGGAAATCCACCGAAAATGAACAGCTTCACTCGAGGGAATTCTCGGACAACTGGTGCAAAACCATAGGCTTTCATTAGGTTAAAAACAGAACTGTTCATCGCTCTTTGCATGCTTCACTCGTTGTTGAACTATCATCGCTCTTGATCGGTCCACCGTCTGACTGGCTCTACGACACTGCGACACGTCAGTCGATCCTTGCCGCCGATTGTCTTAAGCAGCAGCACTGACAAAAACAACGAAGCGTTCTTGACTGGATACTCTGAGTCCGAGTTCGCCTTCAGTGAGAAAGCGCTACTGATTGGCTGGAGGAAGGTTTCTCAAATTCATATCACTGTTGGCTGATAGTATTGTCAGCCTGTGGATAGCTGATCTTATCTTAGGTTCTGCGGGGCCTAGTGGTTCCACAATCGTTGCATCCTGGGCAACAGTAGATAGAGAACTAAACGTACCTTCGGATCGAAAATCTCTCGGTAAGTGGTTTGCAACGTAATCTTCAGGCCATCTGGAGCCTGTTGTCATCAATTATTTGAATATTATTTGCATCCCTTTTCAGTGGTATGGGGTCAAGCTCTCATCGAGTGTTTGTTGTATATTGCAGCTCGCCGGTTATGGCTCATCGAGAAATAATGTGGTTGGGAATACTCGATGAACCACTCAATAAATCTTACTGTTGGTGTACTTCGTAGGCATGCACACAGGGTGGAACCCTCAGGACCAACGACGTTCGTGCTGGTAGAAATTGCTTCGACAACTGCTCTCGAAGCTAACTGGGAGTCTGGAAAATTCATATACCCTGAGCGCACATTTGGCGATTCTGCCGAAGAGCTCAGGGATGTAGGTTCGGTCTGAGTAAGTGAGCCGAAACTACTTTCCGGTTTTAAAGCACTTGCTAGTCGCTAGGGATTGCTGTATGGTATTCAAACCCGCTGCATCGTTCCCACCATTATGGGACCAAATATTCTGATCTGATTAGAATTCCTTTCAAAGTGCCCTATTAAGGTCCACCACAACTAGAGAAAAAAATGCTTTACGTATATCCTAAGGGGAACACTTATCCACTGTCAAATTGCTGCCCTATTCTTCATGTTGTATTGTGACCTAAAATGGCTGATTTACCAAACCCCCCGGGGATTCAGTTGTGCAGCCCGAGTCCTTCTTTCGAGTCATCTCTCCTACCCAGGCATTCCAACCTTCTTGGCAAACAAGCCGTGACCTTTGCTAATCATATGTCAAATTTGTCCATAAGTCTGTAAGTCGTGCAAGTGAGTCACATTTCTTGCCGACTGGCGCCAAAAAACGAAACAGGATTTATGACTACAAGGTTTTATTTCAAGCTGAATTTCTACCCAGTGAGTTACACGTCTTACAGTTACTTTCTTCTACATTCAGTTCATTCTAAATACCTAGTTTCTCAAGAGGGTTGTAAATGGAAGGCTGATCGCGCAGATTTGAAAGAGCGAACTGGCTTACAACACCCTCCATGACAGACCGTAGTTACGAACAAAGGCATTGTCCTCCCAAATATGTTGCCTAAATACAAACAAGCAAACTACGCCTGAACACAAGAAATAGAAATAAATGAGTAAAAAAACTTACTTTTATGCAGTTATCTGCGCCACTTGTGACCATAGCACCGGCTGCATCTCCATTGGTGAGGTAAAACATGCTCACAATACGATCCCAGTGAAGTGTCTGCGTCGCACCAACCGGACGGCTCTCACCCTTGTCCTTCAACTGCCAACAATTAACCTGACCACTGGTAGAACCGGTAACCATGAACAGATCCTGGTTTCCGTCTGCGAGGAAGGAGAGATAGGAGTCTAGTTCAGTATTTTCAAGACTGTCTAAGTCACATGAACTAAGAGGGTGAATGGAATGCTACGGGTGAACCAAAGTAAGTGATATGCTTGATATGCGGCGCAAGAGATTGTACGTAGACAGCAGTCAGAGCAAGGTCAATATAGATGTTATAATAATACGGATGGAAGTTCACCATGTGCATGAGACGAAGGTTTCCAAACTATGAGAACTAACCCGAGTCAGAACGATAACCCATCGAAAAACATATGTGGAATAGAAACGTAGCAAAGGTAATGCATAAGGAAAATAACGATCTGCTTGATGACCATTGAGGTTGTGTTGAATTGAACTGAAAAAGGTGACGTCCTAGTTGTTGGAGAGGAAGAACACTGGCTAGACACCCATGATCTGAAAGGAATTCCAATTGATTTGCGCAGTTTCACAGTTGAAAAGTGCCGCTTTCCACAAAGCAATGCCCGATAATAATTCCACGGAAGTACGAGCAAACTGAAGCCCCCGTCACCTCTATATCTCGCAACGGTATCTGTATCTGTAAATGTGAATACCTACATGCAACTGTCCTTCCCGGATAACAGCCATGTATTCAGTACACTGTGTGACAATCTTGCGACCCCGTGCGTCAACGCTAACAAACACGACAGGCATAATAAAGCCAGAAAAGAGTCATATTTTCTATCCAACGGTTGCATCCCATATGAATTCCTGTATACATACCTGAACACTCTACTCTAGTATGGCCGCTGAAGCAGATAACCAGCTCGACTCGTCCTCAAGATATTTAACTCACCACCGTAAACGACGGATTTTTCTGGAATGCGCTTCTGTATTTTTATTGGACGATTTCCTTGGTCGTCACTGAATAATCGTTATTGATGAGATTTGATGACCTTAAGTACCCTGACTGAAAACAGCTGACGCTACAGGGGCAAATGGTACCTAACGGTTGCTCATGACCAAGATGGTGCCAATATTTTGGAGGGGCATTCTGGCACCCTGTCCACAATCACAAACCCAAAAGCTACAGATTGAGCTGACCTAGCCCGTTAGCAGAAAGTGCCGGAATTTTGTTGTTTAGCGTAGACCTGACAGGGTATCATAGAGAGCATCTTTGTCTTTGCTTCTTCATGGCTTCAAGATAGCTCATTGGTTAAAGGTCTTGATCATTGATCGGAAGGTCCGTGGAATTCAACCCCAGCATCTCGACTGTTCCCGTCTAGGCTTTGGCTAAGGGGGAATATTTCAGCTCTCATGTATTCTTCAGATGACATGACGGCTTGGCATCGACAGGGTTCTACAGTTGGACGATAATTATACTTGTGTTTTAGGACTGGAACAACGGATACTCATCACCCCTCTTTTACTGCCTTCCAAATTCTCCAATTGAGTCATGTGTGTTAGTTAAGGCGCCTTCCCCTATCATCAACAAACATATAAGGGAGAGGGTCTGCGCCGAATGGTTTATAGACTTTCAGGGGTTTTACTTCGCTGCGAACTTGACTTTAAGCCAATTAGTCTACTTTCAATGAGGAGTACCTATCGTGCGTGTGTGACAACTAAATATGTTCTCTAAAATGTTCTTCCTGTCATAGTGAGCGAGATCTAGTCTGGACTGCTACTGCACCTTTTTTCGTAATGGCTCCACTATATGGGAGTATTTCCGTTCAGTGTTGCGTATAGGTTGGAATAACATTAAGCTGCTTCCTACCACCAATTTCTTTTTTACCTCTAACCTTCTCCATTCACCACTGTCCTTGGTCAATCTTGAGGCTAGGAATCAACTGCCCCTTCAGAGTTTTCGGCGCCGCTCTGTGTTGCCTCCGCTTTGCTTACGGCATTAAAACGGCTTGAAATACAACTTCATTTGGGCCCTGTCTGCTGTCGGATGTGCTCATCCGAAGACCGAGTGGAACGGCGATCATGATTCTCGACATTTTTACTGGCCGTCCAGTTGGATCCACACCCCATGAAATCCTACTGCGCCCTTGTTGGTAGACGTCTTTGTAAGTTGCTTCTTTCAGGCATTCGGCTATGAACCTATGAGCTGTGTTGAGGTGGAAATGGAACAAGACAAGGTGTGAGTGCTTTCAATAGCTTCAAAATGAACGAAAATCGAATAACTGATAGCCAACGATAGCTGATTGCTTTGTAGTCTAGTACGGTGGTTTTGCAGATTAGGCCCTTTAACTTCAGTTATTTCTAGAAATTGTCCAGCCTGGTCGAAAACTGAATGCGGCACTCTCCGATAGATGACAAGAGATTCCCATATATCCAAACGCCACACCACAACAGAATCTCCTTGCAACAAAAATCTCACTCTGTTCATGTAGGGGTTTGTCTTCATACTACATTCAACAACAGTTATGTCCAGAAAAACGCATCCAACTTCGCACAGTGAAGGATGATATAAGACGCGTGGCATTTGTTGAAAATGAGTGGTTGACCTTTGGTTGCTGTTTCTCACAGATGTCCATATTGTTCCAGCAGGCTGAGAACGGTCCGGCCATTGTATGCGGTAGGTTTTCAAACCGCCTACCAACACAACCATTGTGAATTTGTGAAGTTATGGGGTAGCTCCAGATTCAGTGCAGATAGCCATTGATGTAGAGTGTGGGTAGAGTATGGCTCTAAACATCTCTATCGCTAAGACACGAGCTGCCGGTCTGGAGGTCACTGGTTCAAACGCAAAGCTGGGTTTTTCTATTGCTCCCGTTTATGCTCAGGTGACTGAACAGTATCGCAGCCCTCTTGGTTCTTTCGTTTTGTATGGACATATGCACAAGATGTGCTGTAACTGAACGGTTGAACTCGACCCGTCTATCGAGCCAACGCTGAGATTTAAAGATGATCTCCAACCCGAAAAGTTGAAATTTTGAGGCGTGGATGCTAGATGCTATAGCAGTATGTGGTGACAGTTCCATGGCGATATTCAACAGTTAAAATACATGATAACAAGCAATATGACCTACCACTTCGAAAGATGATTGATGTCACTGCACCGCCATCCTGTACAAACTTCAGTAAGCTGATATCATACTTAATATTGTGTAAATATATGTGACCATCACCTAGGCCGATTGCGCAAACATCCAAAGCGGGAGCCGGTTCAATACACGCAACAGCTGCACCAAATCCTTTGAACCAGTACAACTGCTTGGAAGACACCACATTCCACAATTGTAACGGTCCTTGTGCACTTCCAAAAAGCAGTTTGTTCCTATAACCAAGCGGACATGCCAGCGCCGTAATAGTGAATGAGTCAGGAGAAAACTGTTCAGAGAATACAGCTTCTAGAAGAGTCGGGTTAGCTAGATGAGTATTGAGCGAATTTACCTAGAGTTTGTATATTCCAGACTTTCAATAGACAGGTTTCGTCCACGGAGGCTAGTAATGAACTGTTGAATGCGAGTAGCTTCGTTATCTTATGTTGGTGACCACGAAATTCATGGGCCAGGTACCGCCCATTACGATAAAGGTAAATTACGCCCCCGGCAGCAGCAAAAACAAATCTCCCGGAAGCAGTAAAGGCAGTAATAGGTGCAGAAACAGGGTCACCTGGAGTTTGGTTACATGCGTCAGAAAAACTTACTTATCGCAACTAGGGTCAATCTAGGAAGCTGAGGGGAATGAAAGTGTGGACGTACAAAAAACATACCTTGTATACATTGAAACTATCACCGATTGGAACCACGACATGACATACGTTTGAATGAGGCAAAAACCGAACGACGAATGGCACCTCTGAAGTACATAATCCGAGAACCCGGTATGGCTTGAATATGCTCGACATTAAACGCGAATAACCACAGCTGTAGTATACCGATCAAAAAGTAACTGGAGTGGGGGACCGCAGATTTTGATGACACGTTATCCGCTAAAAATAAACGTAAACTAGCGTAGTGCGAAAATGCACATTTACCAAACAGCCTATTTGTCCACCAAGAAGGGAATGGATTCCATCAGCCTTTAAGCCTACCCCGTACAATTCAAAGAAAATTACTGGAGCTTGTGGAAAATTTCACATGCCTATTTTACATGTCTATTAGCTCGAACGGAAACGTCTCCGATGAAGACAGTGCAAGAATCTCAAAGACCTGAATCACGCATGCTAACTTGCGCCGTTTGTGGCGTCAAAAAGTCATGTCGCTGGGTCTTTAGGGTGGCGTGTACCAGGCTACAGTAAGGACTGTGTTTATGTATAGCTGCGAGACGTGGTCTGTACGGATAGGTGAGGTGAGGCATCTTCATGTTTCGGCGAAGGATGCCCCGACCTAAAGCTACCGCCTTGTCGTGGTGGCCAGGCTTCTGTGCCCGCTGGAACTCAGTTCTTAAAGGTTCAACCATACCAGGAAGGCCAACGACCAGGCGACCAGCATGTCAATATTTATACTAGAATTGTGGGTCGCTTATACGTATGGCGTTGTTCTAGCACCTGACGCACGCAGAAGATTTGGTCAACACAACCCCTAACAGACCTGAATCCCGCTTGCTGCTCTCGGGTCAGTATCTCACGAGCCACCGTAAGGCGACGGAGCACAATTGACGCTAACAGTCTCGTTACAACCGGAGTCAGGCTGATCCCCCTGTGGTTACCACAATCACTACGCGTCCCTTTTTTGAAAACGGGCAGTATCACCGATTCTCCCCAGTTGTCTGGGATAGACTCTTTTTCCCAAATGCAAGCAAACAGATCGGACAAGCGCTGACTGAGGACTTCACCCCCGTCTCTGAACAGTGCGGGTGGAAGGTCATCCGGACCGGGAGCTCGGTGGCGCTTGAGGGAACATATGCAGTCGTGAACATTTGAGGCCGTAGGTGGTTCCACGTTCACCGTCCAGGGTTCTACTTCAC